GTCCTTGACAGAGAGAGCAACACCCCCTCCCCATCTCCCCAGCCTGTCCTTCCTGAAGAGCCTGTATCCTTCCATTTCATCACTGCAGTCATAGGAGTCATCCCACCACGTCTCTGATGCCAATGAGATCATAGCCCTGGTGACATGGGCACATCTCTGACTCCTCTCGTTATTCCCCACACTACATGTGTTTGCCCAGCGGCACCTCGGCTGGGCCCTTGATGGAGCTGACTTGCAGTTCCTTCGTAGTTCTTCAGGTAGTTTGGAGGTGTTTTATCTGTGACTCCCCAGTTCCTATTGCCTCAGGGGCCCCTGGCTCATCCCCATAGGACTTGGAGCGTGCTGCAGGGTACGCAGCACATCTCAGAGCAACAGGCTGAGGGCCTCCACTGGTGACCCATCCCTCAGACCTTAGGGCATCATCCGTTGTCCTCGAGCAAGCAGGGCAATCTCCTCCTTCCCCAACAACCCTAGTTTAAAGCTCGGTCAGTGAGCCCCACTAATTCATGAGCAAACATCCTCTTCCCCTTTTCAGGAGGATGAATCCCATCCGATGATTGCCTGGTGCCATGCTGGCCATCCCATTGTCAAAAAACCCAAAATTGTGGCACGGTGACACCAGTCCATGGAGCCACGTATTGACAGACTGAGCACTTCTGCTTCTTCCAGAGTCACTGCCTGTAACTGGGAGAAGAGAAGGGAAGACTACCTGCACCCCAGATTCCCTTACTGCCCTTCCCAAGGCCTTCAAGTCTCTTTTGATTTCCCTTGGGCTACGTGTGGCCACTCATCACCACCCACATGGAAGAGCAGTGGTGGGTAACAGTCCGAGGGACCAACCAGACTGGGAAGCTCCCTAGTGACATCCCTGACCCATGGAGGCAGCAGAATTCCCTGAGAGGAGGGTCTCCCCTGCACATCGGACCCTCTGTTCCCCTCAGAAGGGAGTCACCCACAACTACAACCCGCCTCTTCTTCCTTGGGGAGGTGGTTGTTAAACAGGGCCTTTCTGGTCCTGGTGGCTCTTCTGGTGTAGCCTGACCCTCTTCCACATCATCCATGGGCTGGCCCACCCCCTCCAGGGCTTCACACCTACTGTGTAGAGGCACCTGGGTGTTGGGGTGGGCAAGGAGGGGGTTCGCTTGCCACCCCGAGCACAGACTTGCCCCCATTCACAGCTCTCCGTTTGGCCACTGCCTTCGCTCTGGCAGGGGGTGGGTACAGGATCTCCTTTAGCTCTGGGATTTTTTGGTGGGTCTTCTCTCGGGGAGCTCGGAGCCTGATTCCACCCATTGCTTTCTCGCACTCCCTCATGCTCCGCAGCCTTTCTGCTTCCTTTCAGCTCTGCCACCAGACGGACCACAAAGACCAACCCGGACTCAGGACAGGAGTGTGCCAGCACCCAGAGCCACTCCGAAAGCTCCCACCAGCACCAGATGTAGCACACAGCTGGCCACCAGTCCAGCAAGTCTCAGCAGGGCTGCCCCTCCTGCCATCATGCCAGCCAGGAGGTGGCTTTTGGCCCCAGGCCATGTCCACTCACCCCACATCACCCTGGATCTCACATCCCCCTGGACCCCCTTCCCACGTCCCACCCAACCCACACCCCCCTGGATCTTGTGCCCATTGCCCCTCGTCCTGTCCCTGGGAGGCACTGAAGAGAGTCCGGCTCGATCCTCCTTCAACCCACCCTTTAGAGACTTGGAAGCATTAATAAGGTCTCCCCTCAGCCTTCTCTTCTCCAGCCTAAAGAGCCCCAGCTCTTTGAGCCTTTCCTCGTAACGGAGGTGCTCCAATCCCTCCACCATCTTAGTGGACTCTCTCCAGCAGTTCCCTGTCTCTCTGGAACTGGGGAGCCCAGAACTGGATGCAGGATTCCAGTTGTGGCCTGCCCAGTGCAGAGCAGAGGGGGAGAGTGACCTCCCTCCACCTACTGGCCATAGTCTTTATCCCTCACACCTCGCTTAATCCCACTTTGCTTCACCCCCTCTGCGTGGCCTCAGGCATTTTGAATTCACTGGTCACCTCCGAAGGGATTTCCCCCTTCCCCGGGATGATTCTATGGGTTCATAAATACCAGCCCAACACTGGGCACTTGGCGCCAGTTCGGGGAACCAACCAAAGCTGATGGAAACCCCCTTCTCTGGAGATCTTCAAGCCCCGCCTGGATACAGTCCTGAGTGACATGCTCTGGGCAACCCTGCTGTAGCAGGGGAGTTGGACTAGATGATCTCTAGAGGTCCCTTCCAACTCTGACAATTCCATCAATGAAACTTCTCAGGGCGAACCGACACTTGGGTACTGGTTATTTAATGCTGCCAAAAGCTGAATGTCAGAGATGAGGAGGGGGACCCTGAAGGCTCTCCCCAGGTGGTCCCCGAGGATGGGGGGTGGACACCAGCCAGCCAGGGCCGGAGGAGGAAGAAAGGCTCACCAGGAGATCAGATTCAACACAGACACACAGGCGAAGATGTACACATGTGCATCTAAGCTAGTGACCTTCTGCCTGACTAACCTAGTGGCCTTCTATGATAGAGTGAGTAGGTCAGTAGATAAGGGGAGACCTATGGATGTGATCTATCTGGACTTCAGTAAGGCCTTTGACATGGTCCCCCCACAACATCCTGCTTGCCAAACTGGAGGCATACGGATTTGATGGGTGGACTGTTCAGTGGATAAGGAATTGGCTGGGTGGTTGCATCCAGAGGGTAGTACTCCATGGCTTGAAGGCCAGATGGAGAGCAGTGACAAGTGGTGTCCCTCAAGGGGCTGTGCTGGGACCAGTACTGTTTAATGTTTTTATCAACAATATAGACAGAGGGATTGAGAGCACCATCAGCAAGTTTGTAGATGACACCAAGCTGTGTGGTGTTGTCGATCCACCAGAGGGATGGGATGCCATCCAGAGGGACCTGGACAGGCTGGAGAGGTGGGCCCAGGTGAACCTCATGAGATTCAACAGAGCAAATGCAGGGGTCTGCACCTGGGCTGGAACAATCCTCGCCATCATCAGTACAGGCTGGGGGGTGAGGTATTAGAAAGCAGCCCTGAGGAAAGGGACTTGGGGGTGCTGATGGACATGAGCACCTGGACATGAGCAGGCAGTGGGACCTTGCAGCCCAGAAGGCCAATTCCCCCATCCTGGGCTGCATCAAAAGAAGTGTTGCTAGCAGATCCAGGGAAGTGATTCTGCCACTTTGCCCTGCTCTGGTGAGACCTCACTTGGAGCGCTGTGTCCGGGTCTGGAGCCCTCAATACGGGAAGGACAAGGACCTGATGGAGCGGGTCCAGAGGAGGGCCACAAAAATGCTCAGGGGGTTGGAGCCCCTCTGCTACGAGGACAGGCTGAGGGAGCTGGGGTTGTTCAGCCTGGAGAAGAGGAGGCTCTGGGGAGACCTACTAGTGACCTACCCTGAAGGGGGGGTACCGGAAAGCTGGGGAGAGTCTGTTTCCAAAGGCCTGCAGTGACAGGACGAGGGGCAATGGCTTGAAGCTGGAGAAGAGCACATTTAGATTGGATCTTAGGAACAAGTTCTTTACTGTGAAGGTGGTGGAACAGGTTGCGCAGGGAGGTGGTTGGGGCCCCTTCCCTGGAGATTTTCAAGGTGAGGCTCGATGTGGCCCTGGGCAACCTGGTCTAGTTGGGGATGTCCCTGCTGACTGCGGGGAGGTCAGAGGCTTTGGAGGTCCCTTCCAGCCCAGACCATTCTATGGTTCTATGATTCTGTGTGGGAGAAATAGCCAAGACCAGAACCATCCCACACCAGCTGCCCCACGGCTGCAGTTCCAGTCCAGTATTCCCCATTTTATGCGTTAAAAAGGACAGCAACCAACCTGTCAGACCACCAGCTTGATGGTTCAGATGCCGCTGGCCTGGGCATCGCTCTCCAGGGCTTGAGCACATGGGACAGCTTTAATAGCAGCAATCTGCTTTTGAAACCCCCATCTACTCCCAGGAGGAGCTCGAAGCACTCTGTCTTGGGGGGAAAAGTGAAAAAAACCCAAATTTCTGTCCCTGGGGGATAAAGGAGGGGGGGAAATATATAATATTTTTACCACTTTCTGGGCCAAATCTAAAGCTAAGAGGAAAAAAAAACACCAAGCAGAGGCTCCAAGCACAGACCACGACCAGCAGAGAGAGCGGCTTCCTCTGAAGGGCTCTGGGAAAACTCACAGGGTACCGTGGTGCTGGGCTGACCCTTCAAATATCATCAACAAACACACAGAAACACACAGCCATCAGAGACAATTCGTGCCCACAGCAGCCTCCCCTAAACCCGCAGCTGGACAAGTTCATCCCCCAGCAGTTTGGGACGTTAAGAGATGCTGCGAACACAAAAGAGCAGCAAAAAAAGCACCAGAACCCAGCTCTGCCCACTCCCTTTTACCCAGGAAGGCTCTTCATTGCGCTGGATGCTTACTGGTCTGAGCCCAGGCCTGGGGAGGGTGAAAAAAAGGTGGGTTTGGGGACTCCATTGCCAGGGAAGCCCGGAGCCCCAAGGTTCGTGGGGGGATGAAAGCACTTCCCAGGGACATTGAGAACCAGCAACCATTTTTCCTCCTGGCACTTTTGGTCTGGGAGCAATAGCTGGAGATGGTGGTGGATGGAGCCTGAAATGGCACCGCTCCACGGAGGAGCCGTGGCCGGATCCAGCCTGGGGAGAGCCCCAGGGGTTTGATTCGGGGGTGCTGAGCCCTGGCCCGGCTCAGTGCCAGCCCAGACAGCTGTGGTCATCGGGGGCTGAGGATGGGATGGGGCCCCTCACCCACCCAGGGGCACCAGCACCCAGGCCCAGGGACCCTCAGTTGTGGAGCAAAACCCACCGAGTTGGGGGGAGAGGGGTGCCGGACCCTTCCCGGCAGCAAAGCTCTGTCCTATGGACATGAAAACATGGAAGCAGGGGATGGAGGCTCCAGAGCCCCCCTGCTGCCATCTCCCATCCAGGAGACATCCCTGGGAGCCTCCTCTTTGCTTCCCGAGGCAGCGGCCAGCACACCCCTTTTCTTTCATAATGAAATAATTTATTTTCTAACAGTCAAACAATACCGAAGTATCCATATACACAGCAAAGGTCTCCTAAAACACGTAGTTTCTAAAAATGCGTGTGCTAACTGTAATAAAAAGCACCATTAGATGGTCTTGACACAGGATTCCGAATGACAACAGGGTATTTACAGCAGGAACTGAATGGCTGGAAACAGAATTCCTATTCTCCCATCTGCCGCTCCCCGGCTCTTGACTGACCAAAATAAAGCCGATGCTCTACAGGTTCGCTTCTCGGGAAGCAAAAGGTTAGGAGAAAAAGATGGAAAAGCACAAATAAAATGCGTCAGAGAAAACCCAAGCAATGCCCGGATGGTTCTGGATCTGACATTTTGGACGGCTCACATACCGCTACGCTGGAGAAATTAAAAGGATGAAAGAAACGTTGCGGTTTTCAGCCGTAACCATGGCAGAGCGAGGACACGGCGCTTCCTGGGGAGCAAGCGACGGCAGGCGATGTCCCAACCTTCTTTATGGGGGGGACAAGTCAAGGAGCAAAGCACCGGGGCAGCAGTGGGCTCCGGAAGGATTTGGATAGAGCCCCGTTCCCGGCAGCTTCCCATTCTCTGCCTGGCCGCGGGTCCTGTCTCTCGCCACCCAAAGCAGCGGTTTGAGATCTGCCTTCTGCAAGGAAAATGGAAAGAAAAAAAAAAAAAGCCAAAAACCAAAAAAAAAAAAACAAACCCCAAAAAGCGTGTTTTCGACTCACGTCTGTCTGTGCAACGATCCGTCGTAAACATGGGGTGCGCGAGCAGCTCCTCGCATCCCCTTTTTTATTTTAATCACAATCTACAAAAATGTCCTTCCTGCAGCTTATTTCTTAGGAATGCTGGTGGATCAGTGAATTCCAGGAAAAGGCTGGCACAGCCGCCGGGCGCCTCGGCCGACAAAGACCCGGAGAGAGCAAAAGCCGCCAGAGACGGTCCTGGCCGCTCACCGGGAATCAGCCGCCGGATTTCCAGCCTCCTACCAGGTTAGTGCATCGTTTTGGAGGGTTCCCGTTTCTCTTCGCCCACAGGCTGGAGAGGAGCACATCCCAACAGTGCAAAGGTCCGATAATTATTAGTTAGGGAGAAAACAAAAAAAGAAGGGGGAGAAAAAAAAAAGAAAAAAAAAAGCAACCCCCACGCAGCGTTTCACCACGAGAAAAAGGTGGGCAACTCAAAAAGGCACAACACTGAAGAGAAATAATTATTTACGCCAAATTGATACCTTAAGACTTGGCCTATCTAAACAACAAAAATCCACTGTTTTCTACCTCCTGTTGAACCCCGACGGTGCTTTCCCGATGCCGGACGTCACCCGTCCCTGCTCAAGGGCAGCAAGAGCTGTGGCTCTGGGGGGATTCCCAAGGCGGTTTTTGAAAGAGGGTGAGGGAGGGCTCTCGGCAAACCCCTCAAAGTGCTGATATTCCACTTCCTTTTCTCTGTGCTTCTCATCTTTTTGCCTTTGTTCCCCCCCTCCTTTTTGAAAGCGTGGGGATTTTGAGCTTGGGCAGCAAAGGCTGGTGGCCTCGGGTGTTCCAATGCTAAAGGCATCCGAGCCACAGGTGAGTGCAAATCTGTTGGATGTCTGAAAAATTACGGCTGCTTTAAAAAAACCAAAAGAATCCCTCATGGGTTTGATTTTTTGTTCTTCTTTTAAAATCCAGAAGGTGCAAAAAGAGCTGAGACTTGGGAGCTTTTATCAATCCGTTAGCTCTGTCTCCCATCCTTCTTGCCTCTCAAAGATTTCAAATGATCCAAAAATAGACTGGGGATATTAAAAAAAAGAAAAAAAAAGGAAAAAGAAACTGAGTTTTATATTGTTCACTTTGTGGAGTGTCTCAGTGGCTTTCGGCATTTCGGAAACTGCGTTTCTTGAAGGGACTGGTACAGACCCCGGGTGCAGGGGATGCCTGGTTTTGCCTCCCACCACTAAGAAAAGCCCTTGGAGAGCAAAGCAGCTCCTTGCCAGGTGCCAACGGGGATCAAGCGAGAGGTTTGCCGAGGGGATGGGAAGGACCTTTGACCGGCTCAAGGGGAAAAGAAACGTCTCTGTTAGCGGACCTCTACGTATCAAAGTTTCCAGAACATCTATAAAAGCATTATATCGTAAGAATGTTATCTTCAGTACGTAGAAAAAGGAATAAATACTATTTAGAGCTTGCGTGTTTTCTGTACACTTCTGTGTGCTCTCAGGTCGGGAACCCCCAGTTGTCGGGGCAGTGGGAAGGGCTCTGGCCCTTTCTTGGCATATTTGGGTTTCTCTCCCTAAGGCGGCGACCAAAATCCTTCACGAGCCCATTTGAGTGCCTGAAAAGATCTCCGCCAGCCGGAGAAGTGCTTGAGTGAAGATCCATGGGGTCCCCTTGGGCGCTGACAGCTGGAGGCTGCCCCACTCCCCCTCACTGTCGGGTTATTGCTAAACTGTCACGCGATGGATTTGAACGGGGCCGGGCATTGCTTCTGTGAAACAAATGAGGCATCATCTTTGTTTTTTGTGCTAAAGGGATGGAGATAATCTTTGTTCATCTCTCCGAGGTAGAAAAAATTTGTCCCAGAGACAAGAAGCGTGAAAAAAATTCCAGGAGCGCTTGCCTGGAACAGCGATGTGCAGCCATGAAGCAGGAGGTGGGAGGTCGCACAGGACAGGGACAGGGACTGTTTGGTTTTAGGTAGGACAGAAAACTTCCCAGACCGAAGGCGTCTGACCTCAGCCTCTGTTAGACAGGGGATGGGGAGTGCCAAGCCCTGCAGCCCTCCCCGAGCGGCGTTCCCTGTGCCGGTGAGGCTCCGGGATGACGGCAGGGCAGGGCTGGGCTGGGCTGTACGCGGCTGCGCTGCCACCCTTGATATTTCGAGTTGGCGGAGAGGAGCCCTCTGAGCAAGGCGCCGGTGGCTGGCGGTGCAATTCCTGCACCCACCTGAGATGAGACACGGATGAAACGCTCCACTTGCCGATCACCAACTCGCCTCCTCTCTATCCCAGACCTAAACTACACAAGAGGTCACCTCTGCCTTCAGATCCTCGCCCAAAAAACTCTTACATTTGGGCCCTGCCACCGATTATTGGGTACGTGATATTGCTGCGGGCATATGCAGAGTAGATTGGGAATACTGTGCGGTGACAGCAAGCCAAAAATCCCAGCAGAGGGCTTTTGAGGTTGCTGTTACTGCTGCGATATTCTTCTTGGGCGCACCAAAATGTGGCTGGAATGTGGGGTCTGGCAGAGAGGAGTCTGGGACGGGAAGAGACGCCAGCAGATGCAGGCGGAGGCGAGCTCCAGGGAGCAGGTTGCCAACCGCTGCCCTACGCCAGGTTCTGGGACTTCAGCAAAGCTCAGCTTCATTTCAGTCGGCAGTTCGTTAAGATATTTTTTTTTTTACGTGCAAGAGAATGGTGGGACGGTCCGGTGTGCTACCTAACGAGATCCAAAAGGGGAACGGCGACGGGCGAAACAGCTGCGGGAGTTGCTTCTTATAGACCGAGAGAAGGCTTGTGATTGCTCTGCAACTTCAACCTCTTCACGCTGGAGCTGGAATAACCCTCGTCGCTACAGATGCTCTGCAGGCTCCCTCTTTCATCTGAGTCGCTTGGGCTGCTGCTGCTCCAATCGAGGTCCGCAGGGAGATCATCCGTGCTCTCCACATCCACATCTATCTCTTCTGCAAGAAGAAGGGTTAAGCGTTACAGCATGGCCGGACAGACCTCCTGCCAGCCGGCCCCGCTCCCTCCCGAGGGCAGGGTCTCACCTCTATCCGAGTCTGAGCGCTCCGAAGACACAGTGGATCCGATACTGTCCATCCTTATCCTCTCTATCCCCAGCTTCTCCAGTTGCCTTTTCAGGTGCCGCTGCTCCCGCTGCAGCTTGTCTATTTGGTGTACGGCTTTCCTCTCATAGTCTTGAAGCTGCTGCAAAGGATGAGAGAGAAGGCACCCTGAGCTCCTCAGCCTCCAGCCACACGGGAATCACAGAATCTTAGTGGTTGGAAGGGACCTCTGAGATCATCGAGTCCAACCACAAAAAAAAAAACAAAACAGAAAAACCCCAAAAAAACACACCACACCAAACGCCCACCAAAAACACCGCACCCACCAACTAAACCCCACACTCAACACCTCGCCATAAACCAATAACCTTGGGCACTAGAGCATGCCCTGAAGAGCCATGTCTATACGTTTCTTAAATCCCTCCAGGGATGGTGACTCCACCACCTCCCTGGGCAGGCTGTTCCAGTGCCTGACCACTCTCTCAGGAAAGTAGTTCTTTCTAATATCTAATCTAAATCTCCCCTGCCCCAACTTCAGACCATTTCCTCTGGTCTTGTCGTTCGTCCTTTGGGAGAAGAGGCCAACACCTGCCTCTCTACAACCTCCTTTCAGGTAGTTGTAGAGGGCAATGAGGTCTCCCTTCAGCCTCCTCTTCTCCAAACTAAACATGCCCAGTTCCCTCAGCCTCTCCTCATAGGACTTGTTCTCCAGACCCCTCCCCAGCTTGGTGGCTCTCCTCTGGACACGCTCCAGGACTTCAATGTCTTTCCTGTAGTGAGGGGCCCCAAACTGAACACAGCCCTCGAGGTGAGGCCTCACCAGTGCTGAGTATAGAGGCACGATGACTTCCCTACTCCTGCTGGCCACGCTATTCTTGATACGAGCCAGGATGCCATTGGCCCTCTTGGCCACCTGGGCACACTGCTGGCTCATGTTAAGCCTGCTGTCTACCAACAGCCCCAGGTCCTTTTCTTCCGGGCAGCTTTCCAGCCACTTTTCCCCAAGTCTGTAGCGTTGAATCATCGCTTTCCCTACCCACACCACCCAAATGCGACCGCTGCCAGCTACCGAGGGGCTCCCCGGCTTCACCACGCTCAGGACATCGAGCACATGAGTCGCATGGATGCAATTTTCATCCTTCCAGGAGCTGATGGACATCAAAGCAGGGTGCAGCCCCTGGCCTAGAGATGGAGAGGTCCGGACCTGCCCCAAGGCCGTTGGAGAAGACGCATAAAGGCCACTTCCCCCTCCAAATAATTTACATGCCCAGCTAGGCTGGAGCCAGCCCCATCCTATTTATAGATTTTTAGAGTCTTTGATAACCAGGAAGTCGAACACAGCCCGATGCCCCCGTTATCTCTCAGCTCATGGAGATCTGAATACGCCCAGTGAGGAGAGCCCTGACAAATCAAAGTCTAAAGGACAAAGAGTGAAGTAGGAAATACTGTAGAAAAGAACGGAGAAAACCCCAGCTGTCCTGCAATCCTGCAGCCAGTCTCATCCCTGCGGCCTCCAGGCATTGCTGTGGTGTGGGGTACGAGGCAGAAATTTGGCTGTAAAACAGCATGGCAGCCCTCTGTTAGCCTGTTGATAAGGAGAATCACACGGACTCACTGTGCCAGCTGCGAGAAGGGCAATACCGACCCGCGACACCATTAACTGCTGTCAGTATTTCCAAAACAAGGTCCTGACCTGCCTGTTACTTTCATCCCAGCTCGAGGATCCAGGCACCCAAAGCCCTGCGCCCCAGGCAGTGGTGCTGCTCTTCAAACTGAGCTTGGAACCCACCCCACGGGGATGGAGCCCCATTTCTTGTGTCTCCCACAACGGGTGGGTTCAGTGGCACTAAACGAGTCCATGCTCACCTTGATGTGCAATTTGGCTTTCGTTAGTAAACTCAGGGTGGTGTGTCTGCTGGCTTCGGGTCCGAGTGGTACAATCCCCTTCAGCTTCTCCAAACAGAGCCGCAGATGGGCACGCCTGTGAGAAGAACACACAACATGCTCAGCAGTCAGGTACCTGCTTCCCAAATGGCATTTCACCCCTGCGAGCGTGGATAATCAGGGTGGTTGGAAGCTAAGCCAAGCCAGACGCCTTCCTACACTCCGGTGGGTTCCATACACTGGGTGAAAACTGCAGCCAGACAAAAGGACATCTCTCAAAATCCCTACTCCAGCTTTGGCCAACTCTGACAAAACCTTGCCGGGCTGTCGGGACACTTCCTGGTGAGGAGCTGCCAAAGACATTGACTTTTTGGGTTAGAGTATCCACTTTTGGTCTTTCTTCTCCCAAAAAGCTTCCCTTACAGAGATGCTGTTTGGTCATCGCTCTGCCGACAGCTGAAGCCGCCTGGGCCGACGCCACGCCGCTGTAAACCCAGAACATCCCTTGGGAGCGCTTTCTTTCCCTGTTTTTAGTAGGGACGGGCTGGTTTCGGATCCATCGCCTTGGCACGCGTGGCTCAGGTCAAAACAAACCCAGCTCCCTGAGGGAATGCTGGCCCTAAGTAGTACCACGTTCCTCGGCTGCCAGGAGCCTGCCAGGAATCCCTCCCTCCATATAACACCTGGATTTTGTCTGCATTAATACGCCAGCTAACGCTTCACTGCGTGCATGCCGCTGCTGAGGGAAACTCTTCCTCCTCCAGGAAGTTCCCTTTATCCGTGGATAACCAGGATGCTCCCAGCATGGGCTGGTTTCCCTTCCATTCAGCACTCCAACCCCAAGATTTAGGTCACATTCTTGGGCACTGGTTGCAACACCCACCCTTGTAACACCCAATCGACACAGGCAGCTGCAAATTGGGATTTTGCAAGTACCTGCCTATCTTGTTTTGGGCACACTAGGAGTAAACAGGCATTTGCCTACACAAAGTACCTCCTGAATTACAATTCAAACAAAACACGTGATTTTGACTCTTTGGGTGAATCCCAAACACCGACAGGCTCAAAGATGAGCCTTTGCAAAGATTATTTTCCTGAGCAGGGGCAGGAAGAGCTGCCCGGAGCGGTGCAGACCTGTCTGACCACGCTGTGGTGGCTTACAAGCGATTTACCTGCGAGATCTACCGATAAGGAGCCAGCCCAGCCACACTCTGTGAGGGCCGTGGCAGCCAAATCAAAATCTTCAGCTACCTCTGCTAAAAAATAAAGCCTTGTCACACTGGCCGTTCACACCAGAAAAAACAACAAATGGCACCAAACCAGCCCGCCCTGCCCAGCAGAAGTTACGCAGAGGGGAGGGAGTGCAGCAAGTTTCTGGATTACACAACGCCAGCGCCGGAGTCAAACTGGGGTTTCTGCTCCGAAGTCAGTGGCACAGCATATGTAAAAGTTTCTGCCTTGCTTCACCCAGCTGAAACTGCTGCCAGGCTTAAACCCCACCCCCAAAATCCCCCTGGCTCTTAATAAAAAATAAAGCCCTCGAAGGATTCGTTTCCTGGGCAAAGGACCTTCCAAACCCCTCGGCTTATTTCATTGCCCTTGTCCTTACACTTCATGAGGTGTCCATCTTCTCATTGGTCCCCCTCTCCATACCAAGCCCAGCTGCTCCTCATGCTGGGGAGGGGGGAAGCTGGCAAATTTTGGTGATTTGCTGGCTTAACCGTTGGCTTAAAGCATCTCTAACAAGGAATGAAGAAGCGCGTAATCTCTGTGCAGAGAGAAGCCCATTTCTCCAGCCACCCTGTTTGAAGGGGTGGAAAAGACGGAGCATTTACTGCATTCACTTGTGCAACGTTACCAGCGGGATTTCGACACAGCTCTGCTCTAAAGAAGACCAGAAGGAGGCAAGGTGAGCCTGAAGTAATCAAATTAGAACTTTCTCAGCCTTCTCAAATGAGGAATAAATGGCCCATGCCTTTTCTAAGCTGTGTCACTTGGGACACTGCCTCTTAAGATACAAACTGACCGAGTTCACAAGAATCCTCTGCTGGCAGCAGGACATGGCAAGGTTTGAGCTGCACCCAAGCCATGCTGAGAACAAGAGCAGCCCACGGAGGCCACAAAGCCATCTTTCAGCTGGACCGTACCAATCTGTCTCAAATAATCACAGTTATTTGTGTGCACAGCTCCAGCCGTGTACCTACAGCCCGACTGCGGGCAAGCAGAGGATGCTAGCCATCCCCTGGCACAGGATTGCCCCCAGGAATTGGGAGAGAGCTGGAAACCCTTCTCCCTGGCAAGCTGAGAGGCAGGACAAAGGGTTTCGCTTGTCAACCAGAAGCTAGCAGAGGAGAGAAATATCATTCCCACTTCCTTATTGCACAGCTGCTCCGGCAGCCAAGGACAAGGAACGCCTCAAGTTCAAGCACTCACCTTGGGCCACGTCAGGAACCTCCTTGGTGGTCACTTTATCCCGCCATCCCGTCCCTTTCCACCCACTCCCCACCTCAACCCTGCCTCGGCTCCCCAGCCCCAGTTGCAAACCCCTGGAAAAACAGCGATTCGCCCAAACCCAGCTCCTGACGAGGCTCCGACACTCACCTATTCTTTTCCATCTCATTGTGTGTCGACCTGAAAAAGAAAGAACAATTGATTAACTCCTCCATCTGACTAAGTACACCGCAATTAGGATTAACACACGGGCCTTAGTAAATGCTCCCCAGAAAACTTGCCAACCTCAGGGGTTTTCAGACCCACTTGGTAGCCCGGGGACGGTGATAACGATGGAAGGGATGCAGACAGCCCAGCACAACAGAGAATTTGCGAGATAAATGGTAATTAAAAGGCCAGTGAAACCATAAAATGGGATTTTAATGAGGAGAGCCTCCAGTTTTAGAACAAGGACTAGGATCAGGACTAGGATTAAGCAGCGGTAGCAGTACCATGACGCAAGAGAGGGTACGCCACCCAACAGCGAGCGTTTGCTGGGCCTGTGGTGGAAAAGGGGAAGCACCAGCCCTGAGAACACAGGGCAGAAGGGCTGATACCCAGGCAGGGGGAGGGAAGTTGCTCCATCACAAGACAAACCTGCAACCGAGCCTCTATCAGAAAGAAAGCAGGTTTTCGGACAGCGCAGGTGCGCTGCTGAGCTTTTTTTTAAAGCAGCTTCTTAAAGACTTCTTGCGCAAGAAGGGCAGAGAAAGCAAGAGGAGAATCTACATATAAAGTGGCATATAAAGTGAAGAGATGGGGGCCGACAGCTCGGGTGCTCGGTGCCACCTTTGGGGAAAGCATACTGCTTTTTGAAGGCTGCACAGCATCCAAGAGGTCGTGTCTTGTGCCAGGAGCCCCAAACCAGCCCAGGACACGCCAGCCATACAAGATGGGGACTGGGAGGGAGCCCCCAAAGTCCTGATGACATTCATGCCTGTCTCCACTGCTCAGCTGGTTGTCTCTCTGCAAAACCAGGGTGAGCTGCCAGGAAGACAAGACGTAAAGAAAAGATTCCCTGTGTCCAACAACGGGTTAGCAGCTCTTAACAAGAAATGCCAAACGTGATGTTAAAACCCAGGTGGGCAATACGTCCATTTACGAGTTCCCCCCAAGCTCCTAATTTCGACAAAGCTAAGAAAAGGCAGAAAACAAGCTACTACTTATTTTCTCTCCATCGGAACCCAGAACAGCTACAAGGCCATGTTGCTTGTGTCACCAGGACTGAAACCCAGGGAAGAGCCACTTCCCTGCCCAGGCTCTCCTTAAAAGTTTGAGAAGCCACCTACTCTAATTCAAGGAAAATGTTATGTGCTTGAAAACCTAAGGAGGTGGAAAATCCACTGGTGTCCAGATAAGGACACCCCAGGCCCTGACACTGAAGGAAAACAAGGGATGCCACCGACACACTGGTTGAAGACACCTGCTGGAGTCTTCTTCGCTTGGCCAGCAGCATTTTGCGATGGATCACCATGGGTCAGGAAGCCATCACAGCCCTCCCGTCTTTCTAAGTAGACTCATCTCAGCCCAGCTCCTGTTTTCTTTCCGTTGGCACCAGTTGAAGCAATCTGCTCCCAAAGGCCAGCATCCTGCTCGCAGGAGATTGGAGAGTCCAGAACCATTCAATTCCAGTGGAGAAGCTTCTCACTTAAACAGACAGGCGTTGTTCCGAGTTCTCCTGAGCAGAGCATCTCCAAACAGCTGGGAAGGACTTGGGCCTTCAGCTCCCATGGTGTCTATCTCTCTATTGAACTTTTTTTCTGGATAAAAGTCCTGTGTTTCACACCAAACCTTTCACCCCAGTGCTTGCAAACCCCATGCAAGGCGATGGATTGCAGCAAGCCTGAGCTCTCCCCTTGATCATAAATAAACGAAACACCTTTTGAGCATCGGTGCTGACAGACATGAAGGCTCCCATCACCCCTACACTTTTATTAATAACAAATCCCTTCCCTCTTCCACAGCTTTGTTTCAGACCCCCTTAGCCTGAGGGGTTTTTTTGTTTTTTGTTTGAATCCGCAATTGCTAATATTTAGAAAAACGGTTCCCTAGTTGACAGATTTTAATTTTGGATAAAGTAAAAAGGGAGAGGGGATCAGAGGGGATGGCAGCTTTACCCCAGGGCTGGCAGAGTGCTTGGCTCCGTGCCCCCAGAGCCCGTTCTGAGCACCTTCCTGCCCACTGAGCCGCTGACTGTGCCTCTTGCTAGCTGAAACCTTGCCTTCAAGCCCCAAAACTTCAGCTGGTCACCAGTGTTGCCTTCGAAACACAGTCTTCTGCAGACCATAACAACAAAGAAGGTAACAGCATGGGCTGCAGCTATCCCTTCTTTTCTTAACACAACGCAGACCTTTGCTCTGCTGTTACGATTTAAGTGAAGAACAACCTCTAAATCTTCCGAAAAGGAAATCTGGAGCGTGTGCAGGGGCAACAAACACCCATTAATTCACTCAGAGCCTGCTTGAGAGGAGATTGAGAGACCTCATCTGCCTCCTGCACCCCTAATGGGGACCCAGCAGCCCCGAAACCCCGGCTTGGGAGGAGACGGGAACGCCCCAGCTCGGGGAGAGAACGGGATTCAGGGTACGAACAAAACTCATGGGGCGTTCCAGGTGGTATCTGTTGTTACAGCAGCTACCAAAGGTCAGCTGTCACTGCGTCACGCAGATGAGTTTGCTCCCAACCAGGAAAATGTGACATATCTGGTGACATCGCCTCGTTGCTCCTCCCTGGGCAAACAGCCTAAAATAAGCCAGTCAGAAAGGAAGTGATTGGCCACCGGTGACGTGTCGGGATGAACCTGCTCAGACTTCACTCTGCCCGATGAAATTTCCCTCATAGGAGTTTCAAGGGGCTACATGTGCATGTCCCAGCACAGAGGTGGCATTCCAGAGCTGGCCCTCCTGAAAGTCAGCCGAAAATTTCCCCTCAACAACACCTTAGTGATTTTAATGTTATTAAAGTGAGCAAATAAAGCACAATGGGTGCTGGAAAGAAAGAAGTCCCCATGGTGACTCTGGTTTGCACCACAGCTCTGAGGTGACAGTTTCTGTCCTACAAAACAGATGAGCAAGTGAATAAAACGAGACATGGGAGAGTTAAGTGATTAATCCATGGGCATGGGGAGGCATAATTAAATATTCCCCCCCAAAAAAACCAAATCCAGACTGGTGGGACTTGCATATTTAACATCAGCAAGGAATAACATGCTTCAAGGCTCTGAATGGATTTCAAGGAGGATAATTAAGGAATTTCCTTTTTTCAAAGGAAAGCAGGACCAGGTGATTTAAATTAACCGTCAAACAAAACCCAAGCAATTCCCTGCACTTGGCCAAAAGCATATTAGAAAAATGTTGCTTTCTTTACAGAGAATCCTCATGGACTGAGAGCAGTTTCACTTCCCGAGCTTCAGCATAAGCAAGCCTGAAATCAAAAGCCCAACTTCCACATTCCCTTCAAGCAAACTCCTCCGCCACGTCAAATGGTTGCACGTTTCCTACCCAAATTTGCCCAAGACGGGAGGTTTCCCCTCGCGTCTCACCGGGATGTTCCGGAGAGACACTGGCCTGGGCCGGTCCAAATTTGGGGACGGGGGGACCGGAGGTGCCAACAGGAATCTCTCAGCAGAGGCATGAAGGGGAAAGGAGTGGCAGATAGTGGTGGGAGACCATGGAGCTGGCAGGATGGTAGCACAGCCCAAGCACCTGGTGACAGGAGGGCCAACAGCCCATGATGGCAGGACCTTACTGGATCCGGGCACCCCATGACAGGAGGGTCCCCCAGCCCTGCCAGGTGCCCTGTGCATGGCAGGATCCTACCAGATCCCAGGCACCCCCTGACAGGAGGGTCCCCAGCCCTGCCACAATCCCCACGATGGAAGGACCCTACTGGATCCAGTCACTCAGTGACAGGAGGGTCCCCCTAGCCCTGCCACAATCCCCACCACGGCAGGACCTTACCGGATCCAGTCACCCCATAACAGCAGGGTCCCCAGCCCGGCCACAATCCCCACCACAGCAGGACCTCACTGGATCCAGTCACCCCCTGGCAGGAGGGTCCCCAGCCCGGCCACACGCCCTGTGACAGTGGGACCTCCCTGGAGCCCCAGCATCCCCCTGGTGACAGCAGGGTCCCCCCAGCCCTGCTTGGTGCCCTGTGACAACAGGAGCTTCCCAGGTTGGCTCATCCGGTGATAGGAGGTTCCCCCCCGAGCCGGGCCAGGCCCTTTAACACACCCTGTGACAGCAGGACCTTACCGGGCCCAGTGGCCCCGGTAACAGGACCCCCCACCCCCAGGCCTGCCAGGCGGGTCTCCGAACACCCCGCAACGGCCAGGCCAGGCCCCACCAGGCCTCGGGGGGTGGGGGGGTCCGTCCGCCCACGATCCCTCCCCAGCTCCCGGGGCAGGGCCCCACTTTGTCCCCCCCCGCCCCGTACCGGCCGTTACCTGCTACCGCCGCCGCTCTTCCTGGCCTTGGCGCGGCGCCGTAGGGCCTCCCCGTCCTTACCGCCGGGAAGCAGCGAGGCGTAACCGTGCTCGGCTTCTGCAGAGACACAACGGCGGGCGGCCCGTCCCCGCCGGGCCCGGCTGAGGCGGTGGGGGGGGGAAACCGGGCCGCACCGGACGGGGGAGTGGG